AAAAAGTTGCCCAAAATTGGACTTTCCGAATGGACCACCTAAGACGCAGCCGCGGTCAACATTTAAATGAAATTATCTTCAAAAAGTAAATGTCATGGACCAATCTAACGTTTCAAATAAAGAACCGATGAGATTTTGCAAATTTTATGCGTTTTTTTTAAAAAAAAAAGGTATCAAGCTCTTAAAAAATCACCCGTTATTAGAATTTAATGTAAGTTTAAATAAATAATAAAATAATGTAAGGCAAAAATTGGCCCTTTGAAGCTTTTTCAACGGAAAAGGTTGCCCTGCCAACCAGATGGTAGCTTAAAACGACACTTTTACAGGGTTGAGTGTAACATTAAACACATTTCGCGCCGTGGAAGGGCAACATATTTTGGAAGAAACGGAATCACCATGAGACTCAAGAGTTAATCGATGAGTCGGTTAGTCTATTAACAAGAAAAGCTTTAATGCATTTGCAATGTATGATTAAGGAGTGTTCACACAAATATTAAAAAACAATTAATAGACTGCGGCAACCTAACAACTTAACAAACCGTTCGAAAGCACATTGAAATAAGCTCATTTAACGGTACATACATATGTATTATTTTTTTATACCCACACTTAATGCACAACACAATATAATAACAGTTTGTAATACATAAAACGAACTACATATTTAGACTCAAGTGTAATGGGATTTAATTTTCATGCTAGTTGCAGTGCACTACCGGGTTTCGAAAAACAGTGAAGTTAGTTACCTTCGACATTCATATTCGTAGATAATATTCAAACATTAGATAAAATTATATGCATTTGTATTACCGAAGTAAGAGAGGCGGCGCATAGAGCATGTATGTATGTACGTTAGGCTAGTTTTTTTTTTTCGAAATAAAAAAATATTTAGAGGTCGCTCAAAGCGCACAAAGTTTTCCAATGTATATTTTTTATAAAAAAAAAATAATTTCTCGTGGAAATGGTATAGAATTCTCGAAAATCAAATTTTTTTCTATCGGAAAACTCTGTTTCTCTTCAAAGACCCATTTATTTGTTTTACCATTTTTTAAACTTAACGATGCATTTTTTGAGTTTTTTAGGAGTCTGCTAAAACAGAACTTCCGATCGAAAAATATTTATTTTCAAGAATTATATACCATTTCTAGGAAAAATTGTTTGTTCTCATGTACCTCTAAATATTTTTTTGATTTCAAAATAAAAAACAACAAGGCTATATTTTTTCGTTATAGAACAATCCTATGGAGTGACAGCTTTATAATCCCGATTTTAGTTTTTTTATACCACTCTAATATTGATCCATATAATATGTACACTAGACCGTACCACCTTACGTACGCACATGAGTTTAAAGTATGTTTGCTTAGCAAATTCGATTTTTTTTTGTCGAACCTAGGGATCGAAATATATATTTTTTTTTTATAAAACTCTACCGGAGTAATCGAAATACTTCCCTGAAAAAATTATTTAATGATTTTTGGCAAGCTTTAAGGGCAATTCTGGCTTAAATAGTTGCAAGTTTTTTGTAAGACAATTGAAAGACAGTAGGCAAGATGGTTGTAAGATCTGGTTTATTCTGGCACGAAAGTCTTAGCAAAAAAAGCTCACTTGCCAACTTTGATGGTGAAAACCTCTTTTTACAGAAAGCACTTGTGCACGTTAATTTGTTTTGCAGGGACTGAAAATAACCAATGCATACCAAGATTCTTATACATACATATGTATTTAAATCATTGTAAAATCGTTATTTATTATTTTTATTTTTTAAGAAAAAAATCTAAAAATAACGATTTTTTTATCAATAAAATTAAAATAATAAAATTACGATTAAATTGGATTGGCCAGTTTTTTATTAATTTTTTTTTTAATTCTTATAAATTTTTTTCAGTTTTAAGATTTTATTGTTTTAAAAATAAAATACACATTTTTTAATTTTAATTTAATTTTTAGAAACTTATTTTATGTGGTTTTTCAGTTCAGTTTTTTTATTTAATTTTCAAATTTAAGATTACATTGCTTTAAGATGAAAACACAATTTCTTTATTTCGTTTAATTTTAAGAAACATTCGATTATTTTTATTCTTTTCGTTGAAACTGTGTTTTTTCAAGTAATTTATTTTTTCTTTTATATCTAGTGAAATTTTCTTTAATTTTTAGATAGAAAAATATATTTATTTTTTATTTTTTATTTGCAATATTTATTTCATTTGTTTTTCTTTTCTTACATTATATCCTTTTTTATGTTTAGATTTTGTTGTTTCAAAATAAAAATAATTTAATTTTTTCTTGTTTTATTTATTTTTCCTTTC